AACCCCAAAACCCCAAAACCCCGTGAGATGAAAGTCGATAGTTCCAATGAATTAGATAAATTAATATTTAGAAAGGCTTGATGAAATAAACAGCCATAGTTTTCACATAACCGACTAACAATTCAAGCACTATTTCGCATTCAAGGTCTAAGCTAAACAACTAACTCAAGTCATACGAGAAGTAGGTCGTCAGTCAAAGTAATAACATCAGCAACTACAATAAACTGAATAGCATATTCAAGAATCTTCCAAATAACTAGCATAATATAAGCAAAGAGCTTCATGAAATTAAGAATGCAGACTTTTATAATCAGTAATATGGTAATAGCAAAAATGTTTTGCTGATAGACAAAATGAGCATTATGAGCTCAACCAATAATCTTCAGACAAAGACCAAACAGTAGATTGATGGAGTAGCTTTTAGCTTCAGTGAAGAAAAGGTTCAAGCTCAGGAGAGAGCTTTTATTATAAGAAACCCAAGCAAGCCCAGGGATTAAACAGTTAACAACAACATAAATCATAATTTCAATAATAGCACTAGTGGCAACTATGATAACATATCTTCTCTTCTCAAAAGGTAGAGTATAGCTACTTAAGATGATACTACGAATAACAAGACTTAGTTTCCATCACACCAAAAGCAGTAACTCATCAAGGAGGAATATCAAATGGGTTTACAGTAGCAAACAGTGCTTGGATATCAGCATTAGCACAGTTTGCCTTCAAAATTCATACTTAAGAAAGACTCAGTGTCAAGTATCAATTACCAGAACAGAAATAACTACTCTTTGATAAACTAGGTGCTGAAGAACATTTAGCAATAAGACTCCAAGAATTAAAGTTACTATCATACTGAAGAAGATGAGAAATTGCCATAACTTAGAAAAGGGAAATAATAGACAAGCCAAAGTAAGGAGTTTTAGAAGTTTTAGAGCGACCTTAACTATTAGATGCATCATAGCGGAGGAAAGCAAGAGGCGGAAAACGGATACACTAATGCTGAAAAAAGAAGTATTGGTCAGACGAAGATACGAAAAGCTGCTAAGAGTGTAAATCCTATCTCCAAAGGCCACCAATAATTGATTTATACATAGGGATCTTAGACTTTGAAACAAGCAACTTAGAGGCAAAATACCTATACTGAACTGGTTATGAATAATCATTCCTAAGTCACAGTAATTGATGATAATTATATGATGAGTAAGGGTAGACTTCCACCATAAAAGTTGAGATAGATAGACGAAGAGTTAAACAATACTGGCAACTTGACACCAAATAACAAAACAGACAACAGTTAGAGTCTAATAAAGCAAGAAGGTAGCTCAAGATAGAACAAGCTAGAGAGATTAAAGATCGATCAAGATATGATTAATTTCTAGATGGGCTAATAGTAATATACTGTTAATACACCTAATTCAAAGGGTATGACAATAATTGCACTTTAAGGGGATAATAACTAATTGTCAATCTAGAGTAATGCTGTTGCTTCTAATAAAATTACTCAATAGGAATATAATGATGAACATGACAGTAAAAATATGTTCGTAGGATAAGTTAAGAATGTAGAAAAGAAGATAAAACTTAAGAAGCAAAATGAATTAAAGTAGTATAAGACGAAGTTAAAGAACCAGTATAAGAGATCTATAGACGAAATATCAGATTTAGGAAGTATGGGAGCTGCTTATATCGGAAGTGCTTTTAGTAATACGTCAACTCTGCCATTTTCAAAACAATCACAACTCACTAGCACAAATGCATCAGGAATGAAGAAAATTCTAGGATTCTCTTAATTGACCTCAACTCGTAACTTGATCGGAGATGGTTTCAAATTCTAAGTCCTAAAAGGTAATAATGCAAAGCTTGTTCAGCGGGTGCTCTCAAATAGATATTGGTGGACTGAGATGTCTACATACTCTAAACCTCCTTAGTTCAAATGGAGTCCCTGCTCAATAAAGGCAGATTTTCCCAAGATGAATTCATATAAGTAGATTATTAATCACTTTGAGAATCATAGAGAGATCACTAGAAAAGATGAGCTTCTTATTAACCTTACTCACTACTTTTCAAATCAAAACTTAAATGTCTTCGACTATGTTCCCGTTACATTTCAAATTATAATTCCAGAGGGCAAGTCTTAGAACTTGGAACTCTCTCTAAAGAAATTCTAGTTATGCTATGACACACTCGATAGAAATAAATACACAGTATTAGATATTCTCAGATCATCTAAAAACTAGATAGCAAGTTAAAATTTTGCAGACATCGAGAAATCACTGCAGATCAAATACTAATTGAGAAATCATTTCTAAAAGTATAATCCCCTTTAGATAGTAATGCCCGTATGTCATTTTGTGGGAGGGAATATGTGGGTACTCAAGACAACGAGTTAAAATCGTGGTCGTGGCATTCATGTCTTTAAATCTTATAAATAGCTTAAATAGCTGATTAGGCAGTACATATTTCAATCAAACGATGAATCAAGCTATTAAAACAAGGGATCAGTTCCAGGAGGAACTCAGAGTAATGGGTTTCATTACATTCCAAAGACTCTTAACTTTGTAATCTAGAAATACATCGAGAGGCCAATGCTAATAAACAAAAGAAAATTTGACATAAGAGTCTGGGTGCTAGTTAACTAGGATATGGATGTCTTCTTTTTCAAGTAAGTAGTCAACCGTTTATTAATCATAATTTAGAGAAGGGTATCTGAGAACAACATGTGCTGAATATAAACTTGATAATGTTGAGGATCAATATATACATTTAACTAACAACGCTGTATAGAGAAATGCCTCATAATACGGATAGTTTGAAGATGGAAATTAATTGTCTTTTTAGGATCTTCAGAGATATATTCAAGAGCATTATAAAGGGTAGGTAAAGATTGATGTTTATGAAGACTTAGTCGAAGATATGAAGTATTAGGTCGTAAAAACCCTCGAATCAATTAAGAAAAAACTTAACTCAGAGAATAGAAAATTTTGCTTTGAAATATTTGGATTTGATTTCATTATAGATCAGGACTTTAATGTGTGGCTTATAGAGTGTAATACTAATCCTTGTCTCGATGAAAGTTCTGGACTCCTTCGAATTTTATTGCCTAGGATGCTTGATGATGCCTTCAAACTTACCATTGATAAAATCTTCCCCAATCCTAAAGATGTTTATCTATAAAATAGTAACAACATATCATTGAAAATTACAAGTAAAAACAATGCTTTAGCTTAAAAAGATCCTCTTTAGTAAGACATAAATTTTGACTAAATACTTATAGGAGGAGAGATACTGATTATAAATTTTCTAAGTCCTAGTCTAATTGGAAAAATCTTAAAACATCATACGCAGATCAGGCAAATTATATAGGGAGCTAAGATTCATCGATTTATCCAATTGAGGGATATTCAGACTATGCTAATTTATGGGATAAGCTGATGAACTTAACGTCAGGATCTAATTATCTGAAAGTAAATGAGAGACGAATAAGAAGTGATACTGTCCTCTACTCTCCAGAAGGAGTCGAGTTCTTCGCTACATCATTTAAATCTTACAAAGAGCATTAGTCTATGAAAGCTTAGTAATTGAAGAGTGTGACTAACAGATTATCACCAAACTTCTTAATCCTTCAGACCTCATCACAAATCAATAATTCGATCATTGATAAGAACGATTAGTCTCATAATGAAAGTAAAATTGCTGGTGGAGGCCGAAATAACTTAGTAACTGCTGATTCCAATATGCTTTTGATTAGTGGTAAGAATACAGAAATTTAAATTGATGAGAAATACAAAAAATATGTCAAACTTACTTAGTCAAGTGAATTCAAAAACCAGAGTTAGTTAGATTGATTGAAATTTATAAGATAACTATAATATTACTATAATTATAATTGATTCAATTCATTTGGAATTTTTGAAGAGAGGGGTTTTGGGGTTTTGGGG